CACATATTACCAACCCATGTCGTCGTCTACTCCTCGAGAATCGCTGCCGCTATCCTACGCACAGAAGTCTCCCGACCACTCGCTTAGCCCCCCAGCCCCATCTGGTTCTGATTCGCCGTCCGTGGTGAGCTTGGAACCCAGCCCTTTCGCTCGCCTCTCCGAGTCCCACTTTCGTTCAGCGTCTCACACTCAATCTGGTTCTCCGCCGGCCGTGGTCCGGCGTGCGTCGTCAGCTACTGCGTTGCCCAATCTGCTCAATGCAGAACCACCAAGATCACCTGTAGTCCCCTTCGGTTCTCATGGAAGTCCTGGAGGTCTTGGTGCGCTGGAGGCGTTGGTACAGGCTGCGACGGAGGAAAGGCGCCGGTTGAGCGGTGAGCATCCAACGCCTCTGGAAATGAAGGAGACGGCTCGGAGAGCATCCCTGAGTCCCGTCCTCAACCGCGTCCCCCCACCCCTCCCCGGCCCTTTGCAGTCGCCTGTGTTGCAGAAGAGTCCGGCGCTGCCTTCGCCTCGTTCAGACGCGCGCGTCAATTCGCTAGCCTTTATTTCGCTGGGGCAGGCGCCTCACCAAGATGGCGAACCTCCCACCAAGCGGCGCAGACGAACGGGCAGTTTCAGCGTTGGCTCTTCGTCTGCTATACCACCTCAGGCTGCCGCTCCTGTTACCACCGCCACTGTACCCTCTGCCTCTGTGTCCACGCTCGCCCCACCCCTCGCCCTTTCACCTCTGCCCGCCCTTTCACCTAAGCTCGCCCCTGCATCCTTACCCCGGTCCCCACCTGCCTCTGTGTCGGCTCTATCGTCAGTTCCGGTTCACCCGGAATTACACACTTCGTCACCGGGGCCCACTGCTCCGCCCGTCCGAGAGTCTACTTCAGTTGCAACCATTCCCGTAGCCACACCTACACCCGCGCCCTCCGTGACGGCCACTTACACACCACCCCCGCATCCTTCGTCATCGCCGCGTCTTCCGTCACCTTCTCTAGCACCTACTCCGAATCCACCTAATCCCGTCAGTACTACTAGCGCTTTCTCGCCACGCCTCTCAACGCCCGCACAGGTCTTGGTCGAACCCCCTATCCCAGCTGCGCCGAAACCAAGGAGTATATCACAACTACTCGTGTCCGATGCCTCCCTTATTGGTCTGTCAGATGAAATTACTATCTCTCCTCCCGACTTCCACAATGCGCCGCCGGACTTTAAAGCTTCCCAGCGTGAGCCGATGGCGACAGCTTCGGAGGAGATACTAGAGCTTCCCAACGAGTCGGAGAGTACTGAGTCTACGGGAACGGCCGTTAACCTCTCAGCGGTGAACGTCATTGGAGCAGGGAGCATATCTACGGGATCGATCAAGCAGGAAGACGTAGTGAAGACGGAGGAGGAACTCGATGGGCCAATTGCCGCATCCGAATCGCATGGTCATCGAGTTGACGTTGTCAATGGGGTCGACGAATCGCTGGATGTGCGGGGCGCACGAGTTGCATCAGAGCCGGATGCTCATGAATGGTTGCTTGAGCATTATGCTGACAACTCGCCCGCGGATGTGTCGCGGCACACATCACCCGCTCCTGAGGAACCTCCAGAGTCGCCTGATTCTGTGAGAGGCTCGCCACTCCCCGAAGTAAAGCCAGAGCAGGTACAAGTGGCTTCCATTTCGCCCTCACTGCCGCCATCAGTCGCAATAGAGAGGCCCAAGCAGACCAAAGCCTCGTCAAGGTCCCCCACGCCTCTCGCCTTGCTGGAAGAAGAACTTGACCGCCATTCACCTATAAATCACCACATTCCTAGCATTGCAGTCTCGCCCAGCTCGGACGCCGACCTGGCCATGGAACTCGACCTCGCAGCAAGTGCTTCAATCCCAACCCACGCTGGGGCAGAATCATCGAGCAACAACGAACTGGACGACGAACTGCTAAGCCTCCTTGATGATGAGCCAAAGCACCTACATATTCATTCGCACCCCCATTCGCCCATTCCACACGGACACGGACATGGGCACGCGCAATCCCATAGCCACACGAGTAAGACGCTACAGGTCGGTTCTTCCCTGGCGCAGCGTGAAAATTCTCCTCTAGCCAGGGAAAGGGAGGGTTCTGTGAAGAAGGGTTCTGTGATACCGGCCTCACCCGTCCCTCCGCCGACCACTACTCCCGCTCCGTCCGAGAGGGTGGTTATGCCTCCACCGATTGCGCCGCCAGCCCAAGCTGCTAAGGCGGTTATCCAGGAACAGCAGCCTGGCCCCAAGCCCCAGAAGGTCGAAACTGCTAGCGCATCTTCTAGTATGAAGAAGAAAGAGACAGCAACGAAAGTGAGTTCTATTGGCAGATACTGGTCGTGTGCACACATGTTGAATGGTACTAGCCTTCTCAGAAGACCAAGCAAGTAGCGAAACCTAGGGCGAAGGTCCCTACCGCCAAGTCGAAGCCCAAAGCCGTGAAAGATGGTGCAGCCGGTTCAACTGGTCGTCTTACGCCCTCGGTCAGTGGCTCCATAGCCAAAGGCAAGAAGGTCACAGCCTCAGGCGTCGCCGTGGCTTCCGCCGCCAAACGGTCAGTCTCTGCGGCCGTTGGCCAGTCTCGCTCGCGTTCGGCGTCTGAAATGCCTGCGCCTGCGGAGCCGCCGAGCAAGGCGCCTCAACCGGAGGAGCCCGAGGAAGAGGAAGAGGAGGTTATAGACGACAAGCTCTACTGCATTTGCAAGACTAGTTACGACGAGGATAAGGTCATGATTGCATGCGACAGGTTGGGCTTTTCTACAAAGCCTTTTTGCAACAACAGCGCTAACGCCGGAATCAGATGCGATGAGTGGTACCACACTCAATGCTTGAACATGAATGACCTCGAGGTGGACTTGATCGATCAATTCGTCTGTCCTCCATGTATACAAGGTGAGCACACCCTTCCCCGCGCCGCAGTTCATCCTAACACAAGCTTCACATCAGCCGCCCCTCATTTACCTTTGAAGACCACGTACAAGCAACGATGCTTCGCCGGTTTGAAGCATCCACGACCCTCTTCTGCTGCGGCGTGCCACAAGCCCGCACGTGGCGCCTTCTCCAAGTTCTGCTCTGACGAATGTGGGATCAACTACATGCAGCGCAAAATTGAGGGATGGGGTGGCGACCAAGCGGTACTCTGGGCGAGCGTCAGAGACGTCAAACAACGAGAGGGCGTTGTGGTCAAAGTGCATGTCGTCAAGGAAGAGCCCAATGGCACGCTCCCATCCGAGCAGCGTCCCCCCGCGCCCGGACATTTATTCACGGAGACCTTCGAGGTACGGCAGCCTACGAAGACGCAGCGCGAGCGAGCTATCGCACGGCTCCAGGCCGACCTGTACAAGCTCGCTCCAAAGCGCGAAACGCTCAAGAAAGAGCTTGAAGTCGTTCTATGGCGACAGAAGCTTCTCGAACTGGCAACAGCGCGTGCGGAACGGGTGGCGGAATGCGGATGGGACCAACGCCTTTGTTTCGACGACGACGAGTACGCCGAATATGCTATTGGCGTGCTGGAGAGCTATGAGGAAGACCACGGACGCGCGAGCGACGTACACGATGCGATGCAAGTTGACAGTACCGGTGTGGACGACGGCGCGTGGTGGTGCAGAGGGAAGAAGAAATGTCAGCGTCATGCTGGGTATGCCGCCTGCTTCATGTTTCTCCGAATCGCTTCTGACAGTCGTCCCTAGATGGCAGAAGCTTCGTGCCTCCGAGTTTGAGTTCGACCAGGAGCTGAAGGAGAAAGCTATATCCGCCTTAACCACCCAAGAACGCGACATACGCCGGCAGCTTGAGGATGTAATGAGCCTGGAAATTCGGAAGTTCCACGCGCCGGTAGCTGCCACGCCCCTTCAACCGCTGAACGGTCATACACAGACGAACGGCGCAGGAAAAATCAAAGCGAATGGGAAGAAGGGCAAGCAAAAAAACTGATGTTGTGTACAATACTACCGAGCGGCCGCGGCAATGTTCCTACCGCCTTGACATTCTCTGCTACACCTACTTCAGCACAGTGTGTATGCATTAGATTCCTCATCTCTCCGGGTGTGATATCAGCAATGAACGTGACGACAAAGACGTAAATACAACAAACTGGAACACCCCTCGGCGTAATGAATCTGCCTATGTTTGGGGTGTATCCATGCAAATGCAGAGAATAGGTGCCCTATGAAGGACGCGCGCAATGTAAGCCAGACTTCTGAGCAGGGCTTTCAGATCTCAGTATCCGTCTCCTTCACCGCCCTCTTTGCAGAAGCCCTTTTCTTCATAGAGAACCTGTGACTTGACCTCTTCTCGTCGCTTCTTGTTAGCAATGTCCTGCTTGTGATATGGCTCCAAGACGCTCCACTCTACTTGACGCAAGGGCACCTCGTCCTCCTGGTCAAGATCCTAGGTCGTAGGGGTCTAGCATGAGGTCCAATGAGTTATGCACGTCTACTCACGATCTCGCCGAGAAGTACGACGTTCTCGCCGCGTATAAGGAACAGGCCGCGCCACATCTCAGCGAAGACGTCTTGGTGGTATATACGTTCCACCGTATCCTCTAAGACCAGGTTGGCTAAGAAAGCGCGTCTAGTCAGACACACTTCCGCAGTCGTTCTGGCAAGTGCGTATAGACCCACCGAACTGATCGTAAGACCGGAGGACACCTTGCAGTTTCCGGCCATCCCGAAGGACCACAAGCATCTTCCCTAACCAGAGCCAATAGAGCACGGACCGAAGGGAGGAGCGGTAGGGGATATGGGCTCAGGGTGCACCTTGAGTGGACTTGGGGCGGACGTACGATCGACGCAATCCACCAGCGATCCCGATGTCGTGAAGGGAATAAGGGAGTCCATGGCGAGGAGGAATAGCACACGAAACGACCAGACGTAGGAACAGTTCGAAGCGCGGATATGCACGAGTCGACGAAGACAAGGGCGGAGCGCAGGTCTCCAGCCAGAAACCGCAACGCGAAAGGCAGGCGGCGGTTCCCATACACATGCACGCATTCACTTTTCAAGCTGATATGGCCGAGTCGTTAAGGCGAGTGATTTGAATTCCGTTTCAACATCACTTGGGCATTGCCCGCGTAGGTTCAAATCCTGCTGTCAGCGGTCTTTTTGATAATCCTCCCGGCCTCTAACACAAGTTCGTGAACACTACCGGCCCCTCTAAAGCGGGAACCCTTCGTCCATGCCCGCCATGTCAACCTTTCATAGCAGATACGTCAAGGTGGAGATTGTATGTGCCGCATTGTCCTATGAGCGTACGAGCTAGCTCCGCTCGCATCGTACCACTTGCTCAACTACAGCAACATTCTACCAGAAATACGCCTCGCAAGAGGCTAGGCCACGACAATCCCGCCTAGTGTTACGTGGACAAGTCCGCCTTGATGCACAACACGGGGTTCGGAGCAGAAACGCAAGTCAATTACACCCATTATGATGCTGTCGAGGCCGTCGTCTCCTTCCCGAAGTACTGCCACTGACCCGGTTGCGGCTTTTCCTCCAAGGGTTCCCAACTGCAACAACTGTTAGGCAATAGCACACGATGGCAGCGTAGCTATATCACTCACGCTTTCCATTGAAGCATCTTATTCGCAAGGCTAAGCTCGTCCTGGGCAATCTCAAGTGATTGCTCAATCTGACCCTCATCAAGCTCCTTCTCTGCGGCGGCGATGTCCCCATTGGCCTTCTCCAGCGCCTTGAGTTTATGTAGCGTGAGGGCCTCCGCACCTTGGCGGTACACGGATGATTGGGGGATGGCAGAAAGAGTCTGAAGAGTACTCTCGTAGGTCTGCTTCAATGCCGGGATGGGGTCATGGTGGACCTTGAGGCCCGTAATGCCCGTCGTCGTCTTGCGTGCCGCGTAGAAGAGCGGGCGCGTGAGGCGGAACATGGCGGCAAGTGGTGACTGCAGTGGACGAGCGCCAGTGTTCCGCCCGAGCACGAACAGCTTACGAAGCGCCCATCCGTTCCGGTCGACTGTCTTGGACTTCAGCGCTTCAGTGGTGACCTGCTCTTGACCTCCGACGGCCATGGCCGCCGCACTAGTTTTACACCAATCTCGCTCATGGGTAGTAGCCGTGAGGGCTCCTCTGGCGCGCATGTCGTTTGCTGCTACGCTGATTCCCGCCTTCCTCGCCACCCCCAAACCGTCTTCGTGGGCTATACCTTCATTACCCTCGCTGCTCGAGCTATTTCCTCCGTGGCTACTCGCCGTGCCAAAAAAAAAGACATCGCATTCCCGAAAGGCGATGCGCAGTGCAAACAAGGGTTTGAAGGACAAGCAAAGTGCGCGGAACCATATACGTTTGGACTTCGAGGACTGACAGCTAGTGCTAGACCTAGTACACTGCGAGAGCTGTGGCTCACCCAAGTTGGCGCACAACCTCTGCCCGAAGTGCTATCGGGAGCTTAATATTGCATGGAAGGCGAAGAATCGGTCCGCATAACGATGCATCGGGTTTGAGATTGATGTTCAGCGTACGTTCATTTCTCTCGTCGCCGCCGATGTGTACAGTTTGCTCATCGTATTCACAGTATCGTATGCTCTGATAATAAATATCTTGACTTACTACCCACGCTATCTGCAATCAGCGTGACCGGACCGTTGAAAATAAGTTCAGGTTCAGATGTATCCCGCGCTGACCCTTGCCCTCGCTCTCAGCTAAAGATAAAGTCTGCGCTTCTCAGCCCATGGAATCAACTCGCGACACCTAATGTCTAAGTTGAGCCCGCTTGAGCCCCGCCGCGAGTCCCATTCCTGGTACAATTCATCGTGCTCCCCATAACTACAGCGGTACTTCATACAACAGGATGTCGAAATATATGACGTCCGTCATAGCGAAATAGCACCATACACAAACCCTTAACCCCTCTTGTTGAGTGAGTAGGTCCTCTTATGAAACAAAGAGTCGGATTAACGCTTCGGCTTCCGTAGAACGCGGCTTGATATTGCATTCGAATTTCTCTGGGTATCTGCGACGTGTGGCACAATCAACAACATGTGGGCTAGAAACAGCACGATTACCGTTACGTTACAACTCCCGAAACCATGTCCGCCTTGATTTCCACCAGGTTCCCGTTGGCATCGTGTTTGGGTGTGATGTCGTAAACGTGGAGGATCGATGCAACGTAAATATAGACGGACGCTACCGCAAAATGGCGGCCGGGACATGCTCTGAAATACATCGCGGCCGTTGAAAACGACCGGATCCTGCGGGCAAGAACAATGTGGACTCGCACCTCCGCCCGAAGCCAAATGCGTAACTAACAGGATCGAGCACACTAGGATCCCATGTGCCGTCCTTGAAATAGCGGTCCGGATTGAAAATATCCGGTTCCGGGTAGGATTGAGCATCATGAGAAATGGCCCTGCACAAACGTGGTGATTAGCAACCCACACGTAACGGTCTGCGAACGGTGGTGGCCGGTCGAACAGTAGGCGGATTAGAACGCTCGGTGCGATAGTTACCATATGTTACCGAGCACAATCGAGCCTTTCGGGATATAATACCCATCATACTCATCATCCTCCATGAGCCGGTGTGGAAGGCCGAAGGTGAAAACGTTCTGCCAACGAAGACATTCCTTGACGATGGCGTGAATGTAAGGCAGGGATTTCTGGTCATCGAATTCCGGTAGGCGATGCGACCCAACCACCGCGCCGAGCTCAGCCTGGGCTTTCCGTTGTACGTCAGGATACAGCGCCATCGCAAGGAAAAATGTTTGCAGCGTGGAGAAACTCTGCGATAGCATGAACTTGCGCGCCTGTCACAAGATAGACCTAGCACAACTTACTGTATCAGCACCGGCTAGCGTGGCGTTAGAGGGGCCGTCCGATGGTAAGCAAAGTTTGATGTGTGTACAAGCATTGGGGACTGAACCCACCACCATAGGTGACGGCCGCCACGTTCTTGGCGAGTTCTTCGGTGCCCGCAGAGACGCCCTCGCCTACCTGATAACCGCGGTTGGCGATTTCACTCGCGAGGGACCAGGTACCGACACCATGACGCTAGTGAAATTTGACATGAGATGTGGGTTGGTCAGACGCTTCTGACTACGGCACTCACGAGGTTCTCGATTGCCCTTTTGAACGGTTCGTGCTTGAGAGCCATCGCTTCTTGCCGCCAGCGCGCTGCCTTGCGTTGGTATGAGGCACCAGGGAACCATGGCGGCAGATGGCGTAGGAACGGCAAAAACTCCACCCAAAGCGCGCCGAGCACGAGGGCTTCTGTTGGCCCCTCCACAGCCCGTTCACCGATAGCGAGATATTCATCGCCGGTGTCCTTCGCCTTGATGCCGTAAGATACCTCCAGGATTGTTGCCCCGAGGTCACTGCGAACCGAGGTGAGAACTTAGGAGAAGGTAATTTACTTAGGGTAGAGAAAGCCCTACTAGCGTAAGTCGTGTACAAATTTGTCGGGGCGGGTCAGAAGCCGCGTGAGGTATTTACGGGCCCCCGAGAGTTGACTAGACTGATACTGGTGCACGGCTCCCTGGTGAAAATGCTCGTGGAAAGCGCGCCTAGTTTGTCGCCATTGCGGCCCATAGCCCATTAGCGCGACATTCCAGTCCCAGCCTATGCTGCCGCAAGCATGTAAGACCCACTGCTTCGTGGTGCGGTCTGATCCAACGACTCACAGAGGAACAACCGTGGACTTGAAGCGATCAGAGTACTTGGCCGAACGTCTATCGAGTAGATCCGCGGCGGCCTTGACGCTGTTTAGAACGATGACAGGCTGCCCCAGAAGGCTAATGGAAAAGATGTCTCCTGTCGGCATAAATGTAAGCATATCCGGTCAACAAATGTAGCAAAAGGTGCGCACCGTATTCGTGGGCCCACCGTTGGAATGTGAGCCATTGTTTGGATAACGGAATGTCTAGGGCATTCCCAAGGATCGGGATGCGGTGAGGTCCTGGAGGCAGCGCGAGGCAACGCGGATATTGCTTGGTCTTCGCATATACTCGATGGGCAAGTAACAGTATCGCAATTATGGGCCCAAACAAAAACGCAGGTAGCTGGGTCATAGCGAGGAGCGTCATGGCTAGAGGGTCGAGTGACTAGTAAGCTTCCAGCTACCCGCTTTTAACGGCGTAGGCGGCCAAGAAATCAACATCGATTCGGGCGCATTTTCTAGGGGCATATAATCGCACACGAGGTACCCGATGCACCCTGAGGCAACCACGGGTCAGTAACGGGTTTTGGTCAAGTTGCATATGCCGGATCGGAGTATTTCTTGCCATCAGCGGCCATCCGGGGTCGGAGGTACCGTATGATATATCGGAACAGAAGGCGTCAAATAGGGGGGAAAGTATGGCAGGTTTGGAGGGAAAACCATACCGCCCAGGGTTCTACGGTGCCATGCTGTAGCCCTGTATCTCACGTTTGTGTGGGCGGTGTGAGGTTTGCAGCGGCCCGTAGCAAGATTGCCGTACACAGTTCCTGGCTAACGACATACACATGCAGTAAGACGCCTGGAAACCACATGCATATTGAAATAAGGGCCCTAGTGCGGGGACGAAGGGCGGCCCTTACTACTGACTAGCCACATACAGGGGGTACCATGCGTATGTTATTTGAGCGCGATTTCCAGCCTAGACTCGGAGCAGGTTAAACGCAGGATGCGGTCACGAATACATCGAGGGGGAAAAAAGAAGAGGCCAACGAGAAGCGATTTCATGATCTACAGCCGTATAGACCGGAGCCCGAGGCAGGAGACTTGGAGGGAGGAATTCAATGTCTGTAGACGGTACTAGTGTGACTAGCCTGCAGCTGAGTTAGTAGCGCCTAAGTACCACCAGGTCGCATGGGCGTCAAATAGACATAAATCTCGACCACGTGACTCGCGCGCGCTGGATGGTGAACCACCGAGGCTGTCGCGGTTCCGTTGAAGCCACCGACACGCCTCAAGACCCACGCTGCTGCTCTCCTCGCTCGCTTATTCGTTTTTGTCTAACCCACTACGTGATAATGGATGGGTCAAGACCAGGAGAAGCTGGCGTACTTGCATGGTGCAATACTATTCGATTCAACATGGCCAAGGACCCCGGTCGCCAGATCCTGCGCGACCAAATCCAGACGCAGGGATTCGATTTCTTGGACAGCTACT